CTTCGAGGCCAGTGTACTTATATTTAGGTGCACGTTAAAGAATCCCAGGTACCCGAAATTTCTGGAGCCCCTTCCAATGCGGCATCCTCATTATCACATTGTGATTAACTGCCTTTCTGAGCAACGTTTACAAACACGTCTTGCTCTCTTCCGAGCTCGTAAGATTTTGTCTAGTACACGTACTTAGGTGGGGTCACATAGAAAACGAATCTTAATTCAGATGAAGCACTAAAGAACATAGCGAAGAAAATCTCATGAAACCTACCGCAAGATTTCTTCCGTGCTAGCCGACCGTGGGTATGTAGTTGCTTCCAACTTTTACAATCGTGGTGCATATCCACTACATATGTGCCTGATTTATTATGATTGGCTGGGATAATAGGAACTGAAATCCACGAACTAAATCGCAGCACATGTGAAAATATTTCAAGTGACACCCCAAAGACGTTTTTACTGTAACAACAACAACAACAACAACAACAACAACAACAACAACAACAACAACAACAACAACAACACAACAACAACAACAACAACAACAACAACAACAACAACAACAACAACAACAACAACAACAACAATAATAATAATAATAATAATAATAATAATAATAATAATAATAATAATAATAATAATAATAATAATAATAATAATAAAATTCTGCAGGAATTGCAAAAATACTGGAGACGGGCCTGGGAGAAAAGAAAACAGAAGGAGCTACTGAAGCGTGAAAATTCATAAAATCAATGAAACCAACAAAAACGCTACCGGATTAGTCTTTCTTATGTATTTATACGCTTGGCTTGTAAGTTGTAGCTATTTCCACCATGAAGCTTAGATGATCTGACCACTTGCTCAGTCAGAATTTTCAGTTATTCAAAGTTTTCTTTTTAAAGTGATCTCCCGGCTTCGTTTCAGTTTTCACAGAACTTTCGTTTAAGCCTAACGTCGCCCGGTTCTTGGCCCATCCTGCAATGTGGGTGAGCGTCATCCATACGAAGTCGTCATCATCATCACCAGTCCTCCAGTGTGGGTGTGTGCCACAGATACAAGGCTCTACAGCATAGAGTTTCCTAAACTTAACTAGAGGGGACTCTGGTGCTTCGATCGTTCAGCGATCATAGGAATGATGGGTAGTAAGTGGATTTGCCTATAGTCATTATGCTTGCGGGCTTCGAACGCAGTTGTGGCTTCGTTTATTGCAGTGCTTCAGTTTTGCTTCGAATAAAAAAAAACAAACCGTATTGAAATTCGTCTCTCGATTTGAATTGGCGAGTCTAAAAGGTTATACGGTGGTGAAGCGTAACTGATAAACTCTCAGTTCTGATTGTTGTTTCGTGGCAAAGCAGCTTCTAGCCATATGAAGCCAAGCGGAGCATAAAGTATGAAGATTAGGCAAATCCATGTACTGCCCATAATTTCCATGCTCGCTGAAGCACCGTATGTTGCAGCTCCCATAGACAAATGCCAATTAATGTTCCCTCTATAGTGTATTTATAGAGAACTATTCTTTACACAACACAACGCAACTCCCAGAATGTAAAAGTGCAGTGTCCGCAAGATCTCTGCTGACGCAGCCTGCCATTGGAATGGCTGGCAGGCTGCGTCCTCAGAGAAGTCCAACTAAACCTGCCTTTTCGAGCAATTGCGTATAGCCTTTTCCCTATCCCCGTAAACCAGCGTTCAAGGTACCAAATACCGAATTTCGCAGCATACCGCCTGTTTATCGATGCGGGATTTTGTTAATCAGCGTGATTTTATAAGAATGTGTCACAGATTTAGCCTTCGTCTAAATTTAGCCTTCTAAATTTTAGTACGAAAGTTTTTTAAATTTCTGCTACAATTTATCTTTCGCGTCGTTTTCTTTGCGCTGCACGAAGTTATTTCGTATGGTGTGTGATTTTGGACTTTTAAAAGTTTACCATCTCGTACGCCACTTTCATTAGAAGAGGTCGTAATCCGTGCAAACATGGAGGCAAAGAGAACAAGGCACCACCTTACCTTCTCTCATCATAACTGGTTACAAACCAGCTCAGTTTTGTGGCCTTCTACTCTATGTAGACACGCGTGGCAGGTACTCAAGCTCTATGATAACTTAAGCTCTATGATGTACTGAAGGTACTTAAGCTCTGATCACTAAAGCGCTCTGGTGTACTCAAGATACTCAAGCGCTCTGGTGACTCAAGCTCTGTGATGTACTCAAGGTACTCAAGCTCCTGATGGACTCAAGGTACCCAAGGTTTTTGATGTACCCAAGGTACTCAAGGTCTCTGATGGATTCAGTGCCCCGCCGCGGTGGTCTAGTGGCTAAGGTACTCGGCTGCTGACCCGCAGGTCGCGGGTTCAAATCCCGGCTGCGGCGGCTGCATTTCCGATGGAGGCGGAAATGTTGTAGGCCCGTGTACTCAGATTTGGGTGCACGTTAAAGAACCCCAGGTGGTCGAAATTTCCGTAGCCCTCCACTACGGCGTCTCTCATAATCATATGGTGGTTTTGGGACGTTAAACCCCACATATCAATCAATCTGATGGATTCAGTATATCGAGGCGAACTTGACTGTTTTATCATATTGTAGAGCCTCATTTCATGCCAATGCCAACATCTCAACAGCCACCGTTTATCCCCCTTTCCTCGCAAAATGTCTACTGTTTGATACCTCGCAGCAAGAGCCACATCGCGATGTAGCAGGCATGAAAAAATTTGTTTGATTCGCCTACTTCGTTTACCACCGAATAATAACACTTGGTCACCTCACTACTCCGCAGTCCTCCACTATAACGCTAGTTATTACTAAGTTGCTGATATTCGCTTCCTCTTCTCTCGACAATTGACGCAACAAGCTCAAAAATTGCTCGTCACAGTCATTCTATAAGCCACTGGCTGATTTGAATACGGTGCGCTCGGTCGTTGCCTGAGCCGCCGCAGGAGGCCGCGACTTGTCCATGCGTGCACGCGTGATCGCACTAAAAAGCCCCGTACATGAAGACAAAAAAAAAATGAAAGAAAAGTGCTTAAGTTCACGAAACACGCGTGAGGTATTTTCTCGGTACGTGATATCACTCGCTGCTCAGATTCCAGCGCTTTAGTCGGGACTAGAGAAGAGAGAATTCTATTTCAGCGAGCGACAAATCTTTGTAACTTCGCTCGTACTGAACGGATCGTAAAAAAAAAAAAATTGTGGTGGTGAATTAGTGAGACCATAAGCTTTTTTGAAGAATCAATTACATGCCTGCAGTGTTTCAACGTCCCTTTAAGCACAACAATACAGCTGATGGAAGAGGCAAAATGCGTTCATATGGTGTGCATTAGAAGCAGTAAATGCATACACAATAGTATCAGGCAGTATAGATGACTCCAAAGCAAACCTGATAATAATGTACAAATGGATGAAGATTGTTAACTTGTTAATTAATTCCATTATTTAAGTGTCATAGAAAAAAAACAAAGCCACACGTGAATGTATAATTCAGTGACTATGTCAGTGAAGGGTTTATTCACTTAACACGCTCAGCTGAGTGCTTATTAAGTAATCACCATTATGAGAGTTGCTTAACTTGTATCACGTTGCCTGAAGCACGTCATATATGCATGTGTACAAAAATACGCCACGGCCGTTCGGCCAAGGAAAGCCTGGGCAACCAGAAAACAAACTGATAAGCGAGTTTTTATGCGGTACCTAATTACTTTTTGTTTGATGGCAACATTGCTCGAACGAGCCCTTCGAAACTTTTGTCCCTCTGGCCTACTTGCAGAGCAAAAGTAGCACTAAGTGTGCCCCGCCTCCTTTGCGGATGCTTGCACTGACAATTCCTTATCATCGCAAATAACTGTCTTGCGACAGTAACACGTAACGCTTCCTCGTATTCAGCGTCTTCACGTGATGAACCCGTGTAGGGTAGTGACATTTGAAGTGTAGGCGGCCATTTTGGCTCCCACGTTGGCCTCCTTGAGCGCACGTAAGGGAACGTGTAGATCTAGCGAAATCTCCCCGAAAAGATTGAATACATATGTATATCACATGGCGATCAGATGCCTTATGTGATTTAAGTGCTATTGTGTGTCTGTAGAAAAGATCTCGTCTGATTTCTACTAGCAATGACACTCAGCATGAGGTAAATAGTTGTGCGGCTTAGTTATGGGCCTGCGATCAACTCATGCGTGACGCGTGTGAGCAAACGAGCTTGTTGCAGTTTGGTTGGCTTACTCTTCAACTTATATAAATGCATGCATGCATTATTAAGAGCAACACAAACTAGAACATGGTGGCAATGCGGGCACGTTGGTTTTGGCTCATCCTACTATGGGTAACAGAGCCTCTTTGCAACATGGACAAAAGAAGGAAGTGAAATACCTCATGAGCTCTGCTTTTTACTAAATTTGAATAAAGCAGTTTCCAAGTAAGAATTACACCGTTGAAAAATATGCTATGTTATCAAAGTAACTGTGTTTCTTTTCTTGCGGAATTAGAAGGGTGGCTCATTGAACGTGCGTTCTTGCCTTGTAAATGGTTACTTTCGCTTACTCCTCCGACAATGGTTAACGTCCCTATTGCGTACGATGAGCCCTCATCACTACAAACATGATATCTTTGTATTGTTGAGCGATGTGCCGCTCTCACTGTTCCTGCGTCACGGCCTGGCATAAGTTAGCCCACAAATAGGGCTTTCTACGTTATGTCTGCTTGCAATATCCAGTGTTATATCCATTTCAAACAGTTAGTCATGACAAAACAAAAGTATTTATGACTGATTCCTATCTTTTTCCTCAATGCACTCATTTGACAGTTCGCTTTTGGCAACACACACGGAAAGCTGTAGCTCTTCCCTTCGCAGTGGCACTACGGTCGCGTCAGTCTTTACAAAGAAAATGTATCTCATCGCGTCAGTCTCTACTAAGGAAACCAAGAAACAAGATATGGTTGCCGTAGCTCTTCGCAGTTTTATAGGGCCTCGAAGGTAAGCTGCTGCGCTATCTTGCCCTGGGAAGTCTCTAATCCCATGGGATCAAGCCGGCCGTTTCTCGGCGGCAGTCATCGCTTGACAACGCCTCCTACGTTGCTGTCTGTTGCTGCATCATCATGGACCACCAGCCCGTCTTGTCTTCGGCGTCTGAGAGCGTGAGTGTCGTTTGTTCAGTTTTATCTTATATGCACAGGGCATTTTTATTCAGAATGTCTCCCCATTTCTTAAGAAACAAGGAAGGGGAGGTTGAGGAGGATGTACGCTGTGATTGGTGAAGCAGCGAACAATTATCTAAGATATGAGTACTGCAACAAATGCCACAAAAATATAGGGTAAGCTATCATCGTTTAGTTAAGAAGATGATAACGTTCCGGTGCGCAATAAAATTAACATACTCATGAATGCACAGGCATGTAAATACAACCAATGTCGAATTGAGGACCTCGTGTATATTAACATCTTGTAATGTTTTTAATATTCGCAATGAAGCTGGTGGAAAGGCTGTAGGCCCGTGTGCTCAAATTTGGGTGCACGTTAAAGAACCCCAGGTGGTCGCAATTTCCGGAGCCCTCCACTACGGCGTCTCTCGTAATCATATGGTGGTTTCGGGACGTTAAACCCTACATATCAATCATCAATCGCAGTGAAGCTGATTCTGGTTCTGCAACATACAAAACAATAACATTGGTTAAACGTGGGTAATAACGTGAGCCTATACACGTACATGAGCTAAGTATATCACCATCGTCGAGCAGTATTCTCACTCACAGTAGAAGGAGGAGGAAGAATAAAACGATACATTTCTCGTAATACTGATCAAAGACGCAGGACTGTTATCACAATAAAATAATCAAGGCCACAGGACAGCGCGCCTCCTGATCCCTTCTTGTTTGCGTGTATCTGTCGTTTTCGTTCTGGTCATCTGTGCATGCTTCGATTCCACCTCGCCCTTATCACGATACTCAAACTGAACTAGAGGTTGGCGGGAGAGAGTACACTGTTGCCCAGGTCACCACAATAGCTTTGCGAAATTCGTTGCTGGTCTAGCTTTACTGTCGTGGGCAGCACCCAGGATAGGCGATGTCTGGGCCCCGCTTCTGTGCAACCGTATTCCTTCTTCGTCTTCTTCTATTTCGTGCTATCCAGTATTGGAGGCGACCAATGGACTATGGGTCCCTGTCCTGTAGCGGCCTCCGCCCACTTCAGGACCCAAGCAGCATGTGCTTACAATTCCGGGCAGAGCAGCGTGCCCTTCCATTGTCGAAGAAAAGCGATTTGCGAACCTTCGAGATTGAGTGGCAGGCGTTTAGTTAGACTTGAAAGTCATGGCTGAATTAACATCGTGTTTCTTTTGTGTCGTAGGAAGAGTTCCACCGTGTAAAGTAACGTTCAAGTTCTTTTTAGGGGCGAAGCTCCTTATAGCGGCACCTGTTCGTCCCTCGTAGTCGTAGTAGTAGTCGTAGTGTGTAACCAGTCTCACATTTTGACCTCCAAGGTGGTGCCGGTAAGAGATTTCTTCTGTGCGTAGTTGAACAATAAAAAATTCGCAGCATGCGCGTTAACTAAAAGCCGAATTCTCCTGTCTCTCATTCCCCCTTAGCAGCCATTGGCATTTAGATTGAGCACTATCTGACAAGAAAGGGTTGCTACGTTATACTCGGTGGGCGTAACCTCCTTGGTTTTAGAAAGGTTTAGCGAGCGTTGGGCCGCAGTGCCATGAGTACAGTGAATTAGTATATACCATGAGCTCGATGTGGTTAAAGGTGGGAAGTAGACATGAAGCGCAAGCCGTAAGAAAGTGGACGTGTGCCACCTCTCGTTTAGTCCTTGGAATGTCCACTGGATGGCGGTGCATATGTAGAATATGTGATGAAAAGATGCGAGATGGTGGTACTTGGAGTGTTGAATAGATGGACGAATGGACACACAGACAGATGCATGGACGGACTCACGGAAGGCTGCACCGACGGATGGACGCATGGACGGACGCAGGGGCGGATGCATGAACGAACGCAGGGACGGACGCACAGATGGACGTGTGGACGCATGAACAGACGCACACACGGACAGGCGAATGGACGCACGGACGGTCACACAGACGAACGCATGAACGGACGGAAGCAAGAACGAATGGACGGACGGAAGCAAGAACGAATGAACGGACGGATGCTTCGCCCAACTCTCCATCGTTCACTCCGTGGATATGCTGCCATTTTTTTTTCATTGATTAGAGGAGGCGTTTTCCTCGTTTGTGTGTGTGAAAAATTCACCTATAATATCTCAAAAAAAAAAAGAAAGAAATAGCAAAAGAAGGTGAATAGACAAGTGTTCAGATGCAAGTCAAACGAATGCAAACGTCCGATTGAGGGTATTCATTGCCGGACATTGATTTTACAGTCTCGTGTACGTTGCGAACATGGGCGTGATCTTGATTCACAAAAAAAAGCAACATAAAAGACGCTTTGTGGCGTTTCAGCAAGTGCACCACAAACATTTGTCACATACTGATGCAGAAATTTCGAAAGCAGAAAACGCTACTTGTATGTAAGAGCGGAACATACAACTTCGTAAGCTTTTACATTATTCGGCAATCCATGGTAACACTTCTGGATAAAGCGTATAGCTAGAGGAAAGGGAATGTTCTGAGTGCCGTGGTCAACAAGATAACTTTGCTTTGAACTTTGACTCGGGCAAGCTCATGTTGGTAAATGATTGCCCAATGCCGGTATAGGACGTAACATCGGTGTTTAATAGTGCTCCCCGACTGTTCGAGCTCATTGTTGGGTTTTTATGCGACAGAAACACGATATTGTTATGAGGTGCATCATTACGGGAATCTCTGCATGGTCTTCAGTCATGGGCATGTTACCATTAAAAAGTAATGGTCTTACAGTTACAGTTGCCGAGTTTCCAAAAGTAACCTCTAAATACGTAAAGGGAGCCTGCTTATTTTAAAGCGTAGTGCTTACTCAATGACCCGTACGAATTCCTTGACAGTAAACGGAGCACGCGAGCTGTGGCCAAACACGCAAAACTGCATTCCAGGGCTCTCCATCAGATATGTGATTCTTAGTTTACAAAATAGAAAGGACCAATCGATCGCCTGCTCATAAATAACGAAAAACTTCTCTGACACGGCACGCTGGCATATAATAGTGATGATTATTGATGTTTAGCGTCCCAAAACAACCATGTGATTATGAAAGACGCCATAGTGTACTGCAGGGCTCCAGCAATTTCGCCCACCTGGTGTTCTTTTAACCTTCGACTAAATCTAAACAGACGGGCCTCAAGCATTTTTGCCCCCATGGAAAATGCGGCCCCGCCACGCTTGGCTGGCGTGTAGATTTGCACAATTTGGCCACAGCTCATGCGCCCCGTTTTGCTTTTGGGCATCTGCATGGAACTTGAAATCGTTCAGCGGCCGCATCTTTCTTGCTGCTTGGCCTTGGCCTCCAAGTTCGAAATGAGGCATTGCACGTTGGCGCGTCTTGATGACCACAGTTTACACAGCTTGTGTTCTATTATGGCCCTTAGAAGCACGAAAAAGACAAGAAACACGAGGAAGCTACAGGTGGACTAGACAGAAAAAGCGCTCGTCCTGTCTGGTTCACCTTTGTTTTTCTTTTGCGTGTGAATCTTGTCCTTTTTCGGGCTTTCAAGTACCACCATAGAGCCTTACATGCTAGCCCGAGTATATCGGTGTTCTAAGGCAGTTTCCGTTACATCTTCTACGCGCACGGCGTACACTTTCGATGCAGGTGGACTCGCCCTACGCGGCCGAAGTTACAGACGGCAACGATGAGATGCCACCCGTGGACGTCAACACGTACGCCACCAGGAAGACGTTTGCCCAGGGTTGCCTCGTCGTCGCCCTGTTCGCAGTGAATGCGGCGCAGCTGAAGCACACTCTAGAGCGGGGCATTACACGGCACCCCTTTTACACCCTAGTCATATCGCTTGCCAGCGTATCCATCGCATTACAGGTGATTGTGCGGTCACGTTAATTGGACAGTGTGGCAAATGTCACTTATGAATGTCGAACAGCGAGCACGTAATGCTTCATACTGAACGTTCGCTTCATTTGAGTTGTAAGTTACCTTCTCTTTAGTTCTCGTAATGTTGCGTGCACGACGAACGCGATTCGACATGACATGAATTATGTGTTATTCTTGTCGCGTACGTCACAAAATCCTTTATACTACTGTCTTTATACTCCCCTTTCCCATCCCCCCAGTGTAGGATAGCCAACTGAGCATGTGTGTGATTGACCTACCTGCCTCCTCCATCCCTCACGGTCCTCCTCCATCTCTCACGAAACCTTTTAAGTTAGTCACGAGGGGCGCATACACGCCATACCGCGGCCCATCGAATGAGGGTGTGGTTAACGTGTATATCAACTTCCGAACCATGATCACAGACTGCGCAAATGTTGACGTGATAGCGTTAAGGAGCCTATATCTCACGGGTGGTACAGGCCTGCGCGCCTAAATTCAGCCATGATGACACATTAGTTGAAAGCTTTTATGATGACGTAAAATCGGCAATCAGTAAGGTAAAAAAAAACACTGTACACTCTGCTGACGGGCGACTTCAGTGCAAAGATAGGGAAGAAGCAGGCTGGAGACAAGGCAGTATGAGATTATGACGTCGATACTTGATACTTGTAATGCCAGAGGGGGGGGGGTATTAGTAGAATTCGCAGAACGTAATAATTTATGGATCTTGAATACCTTCCACCGAAAACGGGGAATCATTAGTGAACATGGAGAAGCCCTAACGGCGAAAGTACGAACGAAGTAGACTTTACACTTAGTACAAACCCAGACATCGTGCAGGATTTGGAAGTGCTTGGAAATGTACTACAGTGAACATAGACTGGTAAGGTCTCGAATTCGCCTAGGCCTGAAGAAGGAACGAGATAAACTGATACGCATGAAGCAAACGAATGAGCTAGCACTGAGAGGGAAAGTACACGAATTAATAATCTCGCTTCGGAACAGATAGTCGGCTCTTATCAAAGAAACCGGCCCTATCGTTGACGCAGTGAATGATAATCTGAGAATTATCATTACGGAGTGTGCAGTGGAAGTTAGAGGTAAAGTTGTTCAACAGGACTCTAGCAAGCTGTCCCAGGAGATGAAGTACCTCATTAAGAAACGTCAAAGCATGAAAGCCTCAAACACAATAAACAAAATAGAACTGGCAGAGCTTTCTTAAGTTGTTTAATAAACTTAAGCTATCCGATGTAAGATGGTATAACATGGAGAGAATTCAACATGCTCTAAAAAACGGAGGAAGTGTCAAAGCAGCGAAGAGGGAACCTGTGATAGGCCAAGAAACCAGATGTGTGCAATAAGTGACGAGGGAGGCAAAATAACTATCAATATGGATAGGAAAGTTAGAGTAGCGGATGAATTTTACAAAGATCTATACAGTAGCCGTAACAACCATGACCATAATGTAAGAACTACCTGTTACCCAGATGACATCTCACCAGTAATGTCAAAAGATGTCAGGAAAGCCCTGGAGCGAATTCAACGAGGTAAAAGTTGCTGGTGAGGATCAGGTAACATCAGATGTGCTGAAAGACAGAGGAGAGATTGTGTTAAAAAAAACTAGCCGCGCTGTTTACCAAGTGCCCCCTGACTGGGAGGGTACCAGAATCTTGGAAGAATGCTTGCATCATTTTATACCATAAGAAAGGGGACGAAAAGGATTTGAAGAATTACAGGCCGATCAGCTTGCTCTCCGTCATATGCAAGCTATTTACAAAAGTAATTGCTAATGGAATTAAGACAACGCTAGAATTGCACCAACCAAAGGAACCAGCAGCATTTCGGACAGCCTACTAAAAAATTGACCGCATTCATACTCTCAATCAGGAGATAGAGCAATAGTCAGAATACACCCAACCACTATATGCATAGCCTTCATACGTTACGAGAAGGCATTTGATTCAGTAGAGTTATGAACAGTCATGCAGACATAGTGGAATCCTGCAGGGCGGCGACGAATCATATATAAACATCCTGGAAGAAATCTACAGAAAATAAACTGCGACCATAGTGCTCCATAAATAAATCGACAGAATACCAATAAAGAAGGGTGTAAGACAAGGGGACGTGATCTCACCAATGCTATTGACCGCGTGCTAACTGGTGGTTTTCAGACGCCTAGAATAGGAACAGTTAAGGATAAGAGGTCATGTGGAGTACTTTAGTAGCCTGCGCTGCACCGATGACATTGCCTTGCTGAGTAACTCAGGGGATGAATTGCAACTTATGATTACGGAGTTAGACAAGGAGAGCAGAAAGGTGGGTCTTAAAACTAATCTGCGGAAAACTAAAGTAATGCACATCAATTTAGGAGGAGAACAGCGCTTTGAGACAGGCAGCAGTGCACTTAAAGTCGTAAAACAGTACATCTACTTAAGACAAATCGTAACCGCAGAGCCTTACCACGAGATTCAAGAAACTAGGAGAATGAAGAATCGGTTGAAGCCCATTCGGCAAGCATTCTCAGTTCATGATTGGTCGATGTCCACTATTCCTCAAGACGAAGAAATATGACAACTGCATCTTGCCGGTACTTGCGCACGAAAGAGAAACCTCGAGGCTTACAAAGATGGTTCAGCTTAAATGGAGGAGGACGAAGTGAGCGATGGAAAAGAGAATGATAGGTGTGACCTCATGAGACAAGAAGCGAGCAGAGTGCGTCAGGGAACAAACAGGGGTTAAGGATATCATAGTTGAAATCAAGAAGAAGAAATGGCTATAGGGGCTGGGTACGTAGCGCGTAGGCTACATAGCCGTTGGTCATTAACTGTACCTGGCTGGATTCCCAGAGAACGCAAGCGAGTGAGGAGGAGACAAAAGACTAGGTGGGCAGACGACGTTAGGAAGTTTGCGGGTATAAAATGGCAGCAACAAGCACATGACCAAGTTTACTGGCGAAACATGGGAGAGATCTTTGCCCTGCAGTGGGCGTAGTCAGGCTGATGATGATGATAATAATGATGATGATCTCACGGTAAATCCGGTGCCGGCATGGTCAGCATTGCCAGTGAGCGAACAGATGAATACGAATAATAAGAAAAAGAATAAAAATATGATGCTTCGAACTGTAATCAAACCCAGCCATTCTGCGCAGCAGGCGAGGCTTCTATCCACAGTCTTGACTGAAGAGCACAAAGACGTCAGGCCAGCTTGAAACGCTTAATTCAAAGCAACAATAAAAAAAATGGCGGTACTAATGCTTCTCGTGACAACTACTCCAACAATGTGTTGGATAAGCCGGAATATTTTTGGTAGAGTATAGTCCAACAATGTAGTGTTGAAAATGATTGTTATCGTCTTTTAACCCGATACTCAGTACCGAAGCCTTGACAGCTCGTCTTCGAGAGTTTGATGTTTTACATATGAATGACTTCACGTAGCACGTCCTTTCATATCATGTTCCCAAGGTTGTCGTTGCAGTCCTGCTGATTCTGCTCGGATGTCTGGACCTCAGCAAACCACGCCATCGGGGCCCTGCGGTCGTGCTCAACAACGTTACGACGGCGTTCGTCGTGTCAGTGACGATTGTCAACGTCCTTTGCGCTGCATTCGATCTGACCCACAGTGACTACGAGTCTCGGATACCGACGGCCCTCCCCGCAACCGAGTCGTACCTCGAGCTTACAACGCAAGGCCTTTGAAACGGCCGCTCGTACGTCTATCGTGAAGGGTGGATCAATAAAGTTAGGAAAAGAATAAACCTTCGTTTAGAGCAAGCCCACCGGGCGCTCTTGAGCGGCCTTCCTTTTTTTTCAGGTATCCATGAGCCATGTGCACTTCTCCAGCTCGTTCTATCAGGCAGCGCTGATTCTTCAGGTCCGGGTCTGAGAGCACGGCCTACCAATGCTGTTAGGTTACGGCTTGATTGCATACTGTGCAGGTTTTTCGTAATCATCTCCGTACCATGTAACATAGAGTGTATGGTAGTACATCTCAGTACATGCCGATATAAGAAATGCTCAAAGATTTTATATCCAAGCAGATGGAGATTTCACTGAGACATATGCTAACCTTGTGACAGCGGAAAATTGGTCCATCGATTTTGGGTGCCCCCGGCTGGAATTAGTTTTGTGTAGTATTTGACTCTGCCATATTTTTGCCCCGATGTAATGGATGGAAACAACATTATTGTGCTCCGAAATAATATACTATATGATTTTCACGGCTCATCAGTCAGCGTCTATCGGAAGTGACGCTTTAAGAAGCATCGTATGCACTAACCGATTGCCGCTTTGGCGTTTTGAGCAGCACCAGTATGCATCATATAAACGGGCCCATATGAGCGGCACCAGAATGCATCATTTTTCACTTTTGGCCCCAGTTTACAGATCAACAATGCAAATCAGTTCATCGACGTCGCTATATGTAATACACGTGACATTTCGCAAGTCATACGGCATGTCTTTCTACGAGATAACTTCACTTATTCAATGACTCTTTGTCGGTCTTGAAACGCATGTTCACAATCGTTTTTTTATATTTTCTTTCATTCCCGATCTTAACGGAAGCCGAGAACAAGGGTTTTTCGTGAATCAACATTTCCCTCCGAAAAGAGGATATCAGTGCCTGGGCAAACTGCTCCCAGAACTCCGTTCATTTACACACATCCCCAGAGAAGGGCTCAATCGTGAGTTTAGGTAATTTGGCTCCCGTCCTGTCAGATGGTGTAGCAATCGTATGGGTAGCCGTCACTGCTCCGTCTTCTGCAGCTTGTGTGTTCTCAATGTGGGCTCGGCGGCTGTGCACCAACGCAGACCGCTAATCCTTTCACTCTTGTCATGCAGGTGTTTCAGTGCGCATTCCTGCGCATACTGCTTTCCGTTTTCCTGCCAGCTTCCTTAACCACACCGTTGCAGTATCAACATCGTTCCAGCGAAAGTGGCACGCTTACCTGTCACGCCCTCTTGGTCTTCGACACAAGCTTATCAACCGCAACGTACTTGGAACCACTGGATTTCACCTCACGCAACAGATCTGGATCCCTTCCGGCGCCACCGGTCAGCTACATGGTCCTCGACAAAACCTGGTCGACGCTATCAGCATCGGCATCGATGCCTGTGTCGACTACAAAAGAGCGGCCTTTGCCGGCGGCGCTGTGTGGGCTCGGCGGCTGTGCACCAACGCAGACCGCTAATCCTTTCACTCTTGTCATGCAGGTGTTTCAGTGCGCATTCCTGCGCATACTGCTTTCCGTTTTCCTGCCAGCTTCCTTAACCACACCGTTGCAGTATCAACATCGTTCCAGCGAAAGTGGCACGCTTACCTGTCACGCCCTCTTGGTCTTCGACACAAGCTTATCAACCGCAACGTACTTGGAACCACTGGATTTCACCTCACGCAACAGATCTGGATCCCTTCCGGCGCCACCGGTCAGCTACATGGTCCTCGACAAAACCTGGTCGACGCTATCAGCATCGGCATCGATGCCTGTGTCGACTACAAAAGAGCGGCCTTTGCCGGCGGCGCTGTGTGGGCTCGGCGGCTGTGCACCAACGCAGACCGCTAATCCTTTCACTCTTGTCATGCAGGTTAGTAAAACTTACAGTCTTCTCGCTAAGAAGTCTAGTAATTACCTGCTGTTTCAGCTGCCGAGCCCACACTGCTGCGTTCTTGTTGCACTTGAGTGTTCTCGTGTTATTCGTGCCTTGTTGATGATGTCGGGCGATATTGAAAGCAATCCGGGTCCTGCTTCTAATGCTGTACTAACTGAACTGCAGAAATTGTCTGCCGGTCAGACGGAATTAATCAGTCAGGTACAGGACCTTAAGTCCCATTTGCTATCAACAGATAAATCTATAGCAGATCTCAGTAGACGCATGACTGATCTGGAAGGGCACTGTCAAAATATTATTTCCTTACGTACTGATGTGGAAGCGCTCAGAAGAGACACCGCTCGCGCGAGTGACCTTCTGCGCAAGCTTGAAGCACGCGTGGATGAAGCCGAGAATCATTCTCGGCGCAATAACCTCATATTTTATGGCCTTCCTGAATCAACTGGATCGGAAGCACTTGTCCAAGTTGAACAACTTGTCATCAAGCACTGCCGTGATCGTCTAGGTATTTCCATCGATCCGAAGGAAATTGAGCGCGCGCATCGTCTGGGTCGCCGCAAGGGTACTAACCACCATCGCCCCATAATAGTTAAATTCGCATTCCATAAAACAAAAGGAGAGATTCTTTCTAATGGACGGAAATTTAAAGGAACCACTTTTAGTGTTGGTGAAGATTTTTCACGTCGTGTGCAAAACGTCCGTCGGCAATTGATTGCCTTTGCTAAAACCAAGTCGCTGCCTTTTTCCATCACGTACAAGACACTGCTAATGGGTCACAAGCGCTACGTCTACGATGAGCAATCGCAAACTGTAAGGGAAGCGTCGTAGCAATTTCCTCGGCGCAAATCTGCCGGGCACACCCCCACACCTCAATCTGGCCTGTCACTTTCGGTAGTCTTTGCTAACGCGCGCAGTTTTTTTCCGAAACGCATAACTTTTTCTGAGCTTGCTTTGTCATCAAGCAGTAACGTATTGGTGATAACCGAGACTTGGCTGACAAATGATATAACCGATGCAGAAGTGCTAGATCACCTACCTGGATTTCAACTTTATCGTAAGGACCGTACAGGCGCACGTGGAGGCGGGGTTCTGATAGCTGTACACCAACAGTTATCGTGCTCGGTGGCCAGGACCAACTCTCCTGAACTTGAAATTCTTTGGGTCGTTTGCCGTGCTCGCCCTCATACTGTCCTTGTAGGCGTTTGTTATAGGCCCCCGAACAGTGACCCAGATTTCGCATATAAGCTCAACAACAACCTGAGTGACCTTGGGAAACAGTATCCGCAAGCAGAGATACTGCTTTTCGGCGATTTTAATTTCCCTCAAATAGATTGGAGTAGTAGCGTCCCGTCAGCTGTGGGCAGTGAGCCCGCAAGGGACTTCATAGATTTCTGCCTGAATTGCAATCTAACCCAACTTGTATCCCAACCAACGCGCGTTACAGAGAGCAATTCCAGCATCTTAGATCTAATACTAACTAGTCATCAAGAGAGCTTATCATCAATTACATATCTGCGTGCCGTCAGTGACCACAAGGTAATCCATGCGGCCTTTGCGTTTCGACCTGTAAAACGCGATCCTGTCACCAAAACAATCCGTCTTTACGACAAGGGCAATTATAGTGCCATCAATAATGAATTGATATCTTTTCTTCCTGATTTCGAGAGAATAAGCCATACACGCTCTGTGGATGAGAATTGGATTATATTTAGAGACAAGTTAGCCACTCTTGTCGAGAAATTTATCCCAAAAATAACGTTTACCGCAAACCGAAACAAGCCATGGTTTTCACGTACACTTCACAAACTAAGAAACAAGAAAAAACGCCTCTTCCGATCAGCCAAACAGTCTAAACTTCTGTCCTTATGGGAAAAATATTACGCCGCGGAAGATGATTATCTTAGAACCATTCGAAACGCCAAGCACGTGTTCTTTCATGAAGAGCTGCCCAAAATGCTTGCAACCAGCCCTCGCAAATTCTGGGAGGTGATAAACCCTCAGGAGATGCGCACCACTAGTCTTTCAAATGCGCATGGCGATATAGTCGACAACAATGAATGCGCGAACCTTTTTAACGAGGCCTTTTTCTCTGTTTTTACGAATGAGAGTTCAGTCCCCGATTTTTCTTCACCTGCGCGCAGCACCGAGTCTATGCCCCCGATTGCATTTTCTACGGACGGCATCATTTCGATTATAGAAAAGATTAAGCTTTCTTCTTCTGCAGGTGTGGATGACATTAATTCAAAACTTCTCATAAATGTTAAACATGTGTGTGCCGCATACCTTACATTGTTATTTTCGCAGTCATTATCATCAAGCATTCTGCCAGCAGACTGGAAAGTAGGCAAGGTCGTTCCAGTCTACAAATCAGGTAACAGAGATTCTCCACTAAATTACCGTCCCATATCCTTAACAAGTATCCCCTGCAAAATCATGGAACATGTCATCTACTCCCATATCATCAACTTCTTGGACTCAATGCACTTTTTTCATCCTTCTCAACACGGGTTCCGAAGGGGTTATTCTTGTGAAACGCAGCTGGCCATTTTCATTCACGACTTACATTCTAACCTTGACTGCAACATTCAGACCGATGCTCTTTTCCTGGATTTCGCCAAAGCATTTGACACTGTCCCTCACAAACGCCTAATTCTTAAATTATCTCTGTTAAATCTAGATCCTAATGTACTTGCATGGATAACATCTTTCCTGACTAATCGTTCCCAATTTGTGTTTGTTAATAATCACTCATCTAACCGACTACCTGTAACCTCAGGTGTCCCGCAAGGGTCTGTCTTAGGGCCTCTACTCTTTTTAATTTACATTAACGACCTACCATTGCATGTATCATGTAACTTTCGTATGTTTGCCGATGACTGCGTAATCTACCGATCAGTAACCAACATTCATGACCAAACACTAATTCAGCATGATCTTAACAACATACAAACATGGTGTGATCGTTGGTTAATGAACTTAAATCCTGATAAATGTAAGCTCGTTTCTTTTTCTCGCCACCGTAACCCTTTTGAGTTTACCTATTCCATCACTAATGTTCCCATACAATCAGTTCAATCATTCAAATACCTCGGCATCACCTTGGCTCATGACCTGTCTTGGCGTCATCACACTACTAACATCATCTCGTCTGCTAATAAATCACTCGGGTTTCTCAGACGACACTTACGCCATACTCCGCCTCACGTCAAGACGCTTGCATACAAATCATTTATCAGGTCCAAACTCGAGTATGCATCTTCCATCTGGAGCCCTCATCAATCATACATCATAAGTGAACTCGAATCACTTCAAAATCGGGCTACCAGGTTCATTCATTCTGCATATTCATACGATATCAGCATCTCATCTCTAAAGGCGGAATCGGGTCTAGAAACCCTTGCTTCACGCCGACGGTGTGCCACCCTCTCTCTTTTTCATATGTTTTATTTCAGTTCACTGAATCATCCACCGTACATCACGCCCCCTCCGCACATATCCCATCGCACTGGTCATCCGTTACAAGTCGCATTACCACGTACCCGGACCACTGTATTCCAAGCCTCCTTTTTCGTAAGAGCAGCAAAAGACTGGAATGGCCTTCCTCACGCCATCTGTGCCATCACTAACCCATCTATGTTTGCAGAAGCCATTAAAAACACCGTTGTATAGTTCTCTTTTTTTTGTTATGCACCACCCCTTATGTAATACCCCTACAGGGGGTCTTTAAGGAAATAAAAGTGAAGTGAAAAGTGAAATGTGTTTCTGCCTGCTTAGGAGCTTAGACAAGATACACGTCACGTTGTCCTCGTATTCTAATAGTGTATCGTACTCGGCTTCGAAGTTCTCGTCTGAGATGAGACTTTCCAATTCAGAGTTGATCTTGTTCAGCTCGTCGTTGTTTGTTTTCAGCTCTCGTAAATGGATGATTGATTGATATGTGGGGTTTAACGTCCCAAAACCACCATATGAGAGACGCCGCAATGAAGAGCTCCGGAAGTTTCGACCACCTGGGGTTCTTTAACGTGCACCCAAATCTGAGCACACGGGCCTACAGCATTTCCGCCTCCATCGGAAATGCAGCCACCGCAGCCGGGATTTGAACCCGCGACGTGCGAGTCAGCAGTCGAGTACCTTAGCCACTAGATCATCGCCGCGGGGCCCTCGTAAATGGAACCGAGCTGCTCATGCGTCGCGGAGTCATTGCGGAGTAGTACTCATGCCTTCATGATGATCCCGCTGCTCAGGGCCTGTCGCGATGCCTGCTTCACCTTTATCTTCTCCATGTCTTCCAGACCACTCGTAGCCGTCGGTCGGTCAATCCCAGGTCGGTCGGCACCAAAGTGAGGGATATGGCGTGGAGCAGCCTTAGAAGTTCTCGAATCCATCGAGATAGTAAAAGAGGCTTTATTTACAGGTATGAAGCTTGGAGTACCCTGCCTTTTTTCTTCGCACGCAGAGTACGAAGTCAGATAATTTTATATGCTGGCTAAATTTTCTGCTTTTCAATAAAGAGTTCTCTCTCGCTCTGTATTTTTCCACAGCAGCGTCATCAAAAAAAAAAAAAAATGTCTAGTATGTAAACAGTCGCGGAGTCACTTTGTCGGAGCCAAAGGTCGGCGAACTCACTCATCAGTCGACTCACTGATGTTCACTAAGACTCGGATCGAGCCATGAGTCTGAGTGACTTCGGGTGAGTAATGCTTGGTGAGTCGGATTTTTTCGGAGGCGAGAGAATGCAGGTGAAGAATTTGACTGTTTTTGCATGTTTTACTGAAGTTAAGTAGCGTTATAAGTTTGAAATTGCAAAAACTCACATGCCGTTACGGAAATTAAGCGTTGGACAAGGTAGCTTCATGCAAGACACCTTGACCCGCGGACCTGATCGTTTGGGCGCTGCTGTTTATTGGGCTTTCAAAAAAGACACAGCAACTATCTTTTACGCCGTAAGTAAAGGAACCTGTGAAAAAGCACATAATACCGCTTTTCTTTCACGAGATTCACGCGGTTTTAATGCAAAATAATCGCGCCACCATGCGACATTGGTATGAGAGAGAAAATATTTACCAAGCAGCTTTACAGTGATGAACCAGCAAATACGCCAAGGTTCCCCCTATGTGAGTGCACTCTAATTGACATGAGTCTGGCCAGATCACATGTGTTGAATAAAATAACTGTAGATTACGTGACATGTTTAGAGCGGTCCTTGAGTGCTGTGAGGACGTCTGAGAAAGACTTGGAATACGCTCGAGCTTCGCTTTCAAAAGCGTAACGCGATGTCGTATTCGGACCTCGTGAGAATTACCTTCTCAATTGGTATACGCTATCTTATGTCAGCGGTACATACCTCAGCCGCAATAATAACGATTAATGGTGTTTACCGCTCCAAAAATACCATACAGTCATGAGAGACGCTTTAGTGGAGAGTTACGGAAATTTAGACCACCCGGGGTTTCTTAACGTGCATCTCAACCCAAAGTACAGGGCGTAGAGCATTTTCCCCTCCATGGAAAATGTGGCCGCCAGGGCCGAGATTCTGTTCCGCGACCTTCGGGTCAGCAGCTGACTGTCTTAGCCACTAGACCACCGTGACGGGTCATATGCCTCAAGCGTGACATGATGAAATGAATGACGCACACCTAACATTCCCCGTTTCAAGCTATAGGCTGTATACTGCAAGTACAGCTGTTAATTGTTGCTACAAGTCCATGGTTAAAACCACCCCACCGCGGCTGGCCACCAGTTGTTGGGACTCGGTTCCGGCGAGCCTCGTCAATGGTAGCCGACCCCGGCCGTTGAACCCGTCGTCAAAGTTCTGCGTAGATGAGAAACATTCATACGAGAGGACAGGTGTTGATTTACATAGTTGTATTAGACAGAATAAACGAATGAAGGACGAGTCTGCACAAACGTCCTTGGGGTAATACTTTTTTGCAGACTAGTTGGTTCATACTTGAAAAATTGAATTGCTGCACAAACTTGAAGAAAAAAACAAGGGAGACAGGAAAGAGCGCAATTCCTGTCTCCCTTGTTTTTTTCTTCAAGTTTGTGCAGCAATTCAATTTTTCAAGTCCTTGGGGTTTTGAGGGAACGTTAATTGTACTGTTTAGGTGCATTGGAATAGTTGCGATATAGATGTAAAAATAACTGTTTGGACCAAAACACAACTTTAGGGCGGCAAAAAAACCTAGGCTGCAACCTTCGGCACTCAGCCGGTGCTTATCCGAAAGCCACAGGTTTAGATGGCAAGCTGTGATTTCGTCAACTTGCCTTTCTTCACTCTTGTATCGTAATAACTACAATACACTAGGCCCCGCCGTGGTGGTTTAGTGGCTAAGGTACTCGGCTGCTGACCCGCAGGTCGCGGCATCAAATCCCGGCTGCGGCGGCTGCATTTCCGATGGAGGCGGAAATGGTGTAGGCCCGTGTGCTTAGATTTGGGCGCACGTTAAAAAACCCCAGCTGGTCGAAATCTCCGGAGCCCTCCACCACGGCGTCTCTCATAATCAAATGGTGGTTGTAGGGCGTTAAACCCCACATATCTATCATATACAATACACTATAATGTGCAAAATTTATTTTTCGCACACCTTTCTTGGCTTCATTATCTACTGGTTTGTAAAGAGGTTTCCAAAGAAGGCGTGACGTCCTCATAGCACACGCGAACGCTATAGCTGACGGCGGAGAATAGGGAACGATAAGAAAGGGCGGTGAACGGTTGAATCGGTCTTATCTAGCTGGCATCGAAAAAAAAAAATAGGAGAGGCTCTGATTGAGCGAATACAGCGGGAGTAAAATGTCAGAGGGTGACGGTCATGACGAAGAACGCTATAGGATTATTCGGGGTTGGGCAAATGTTACCACATCGGGTTTCATCCGAAGCGGCAATTGGGAATGCTAGCTTGCGTTTACTATACTCATAAAGACTGCGTTTCGCTGTACGGCTTCTCAAAAACTCACGCTGTCAGAACAAGCGATGACGATAAGAGAACAAAAAAATAAAAAAAGGTTACTTACTACGATTGCAATATGAGCAAGTTTGCACTAGATCGTCTTGAACAGCCTTGCTTTTGATAAAAACAAGCACAAAAAAATCAAGGCTGCTCGATCGCCTGTTTTGAGGTAAATGCCGGTCAAGGACATGTTCCATACAGCGAGAGCGCTCATGTAAGGCGAATTCGTTGTGATAAACGTAACTATTTACGGTTGAGTCATTGGGTACTGCGGAACAGATTTTGATATACGGATGTTCGTGTTTCGTGCACTCCCTATAGAAGCCAGGGCCGATGCCGTAGCTGAAATTCTGGACACGAATTTTAGAACAGAGGTGAGGCCATTTTGCGGGTAGACTTCGTTACAAATATGCACCCTTCGTGGGTCGCAAGTGTGCTCTTCAATAATCGCGAATGTGATGTTTTGCCGAATTGAGATTCAAGGGTGTTCGTTTTCACAATACATATATACTTTTAAATATTCTTAGGACAGGCGGAGTCGTTTTAGAACATGAAATTTATGACGAGGCTGAATCACCTTGCCGCAGCTTAAATGTCACTACTGCTAATCATTTAAAAAACGGTTCATTACCTTTTTTTTCACAATTCACTCGAAGGCAGTTGTTTTAATGAAAAAGTTGGAGTGCACGAGATATTATGCAATTCCTATGTTTGTCTTATAAATCTCATTAGCTGTACGTCTTTGCAGATACTAATGACCGATTTAATAATTTGTGTGGTTTAACTTCTGAAAACCGCCATATAAATATGAGAAATGTAAGAAATGTGAGCAATGTGGAGGGTTCCGAAAATTTAGACCACCCAGGGTTTAACGTGCACCTCAATCTAGGTAAACGGGTTTCGAGCATTTTCGCCTCCCTCAAAAATACGGTCGCCGCGGCTAGATTCTATCCCATGGCTTCAGTTTCAGCAGTCAACACCGTAATATGTAGGCCACATCATCAGTCAATATTAGCCATTGAACTTTAAGGATGCTATCGAAAACGATCGTGCCAGATGCACACGAAAGGTATCGCTGAAACAATTCTGACAACTTAAGCTGGACACTCAATACGCAAAGACAGGAACTGAAAGGACACAAAGACGGGAACTCCGCTTGTTTGTATTATCTCTTGTGTCCCGTTAGTTCGTGCTTGCAATACTTTCATTACAAATATACATCAACTAGCCCACCTACCAACTCTTCTTCACCCCTTCTACAGGAACTGAGTCATGATGCAGTAGCTATAATGTGTTCCCAACGATGACTCAGTGTATTACGAGTCGTGAGTTTACACAAGTGTACATGTATTAGGAAGCTGTGCTAAATTATCAGTGCAATAAGATTGAGCAACAGCGCTTCTTTATTGTCTTACGTGACCGCCTTTGCAGACATTGCGTCATGCTATGGCGTCATGGCTTGAGGCGGATGACATCGATGCAGTGAGCGAGAAAGGGTGTGGGGGATCTGCTTGTCTCGCTCCACCCAATGTTGACAAAAGCTATTTCGTCACACATCCTGGCAAAAGCGTCAGTCGGAGCACATAAGTGACGCGATAAAGGTGCTATAAGCTCGCGACCTTATGGAAACGCCTCTTCCTTGCCACGACTGATAAACCCACCGCATCTATATGAACAGGTGGCGTATAAAGTGGCTGCGTTCATCCGAAGCTGCCGCGGGAAACTACGCACTTGGCGACCAGCGAGTATGGAGTCAAGACGCCCTCTTGCACTGAAAGACGCGGTGGTAGTCGTCACTGTGGCGTGCATACTATTCACTTCCTTGTCGTTGGTTACAGGGCAAGGTAAGTGCACGAAGCTTTGGATATCTTGAATAGAGAACGATAAATGTGTAATGCGTAAAAAGAAGCGTGTATTGAAATCTGTAACGTTTTATGTGTGCCCAAAAGAAGCATGCACTCAATGCACTGAACATTTTGAATATACATGTAAGAAAAATATGTGATAGCGTGTAAACTATTACCCCTCCCCCCATTCTCCTTCCCCTTTGAACCACTGCTGAGGTGTCGCACTTAGCTGCAGACAGTTGCGGGGTTCACTTTTTTTTTTTCATTTCAAATTTTAAGAACCACCCCCACTTTCCCAAGCAAGCACCTCGTAGTAATGAACTGTGTATAATACGTATAAAATATGTCACCAATGTGGATTTGTGTATGTTACTGATTTGTAAATGTGTGTACTATGTCACTGGTGCATAGAGTAATTACTTACTCGAAGGCCAAGACCTCGCCAGGCCGTCACGGCTTGACTAAAAGTCATGCCGGTATTTGGCACCCGCAGAAAAATCTTGTATTTTTTTTCGACAAAATAAACAATGTTCAATTTGTTCTATCTTCAATATTATTTTGTTATTTTGAAGACTCTAGCAATCGCGTGGGAACGCCACGGTAATTCAATGCTTACATTCCGTACTGCGACTTGTTATGTCATGCATTTCTACGGTTCCCCCGCTAGAAAATTTAATAAACTACCGTGTGAGGCACTCTTGCGCCTACAAGCGTTACGGCGAGTGCAAAATACTGCAGAACTGATTTGAGATATGTGGTGCTCTAAATAGCAACACCTGTGCAAGCGTTGATTTTTATGTATTGTTTTCCGTTCAGTTGAGTTTGATCAACTTAACGCATCTGCAAATCTGTATAAGGTGTACTGCACTAGTAAACCTCCTATCAGCCCCCCCCCCCCCCCCAACCATCTGTTCATTGGCGTATTGGTCACAATTTTGACAATGAATAAAAAAATACAAGCGTGTTTTAAGGAATAGCGTGCCACAGTGAACTTACGCGGACGCGCTCGACTTTTAAGTCGTGAGAGCAGCTGAGCGCACGTTAACGACATGAAAAAACAGGTAATACCGCTTCACACAACAAAACGTACCCCCTATTCGATTATAGACGGATCTGTGTTTCACCTTTTTTTAGCAAGCTCACTAAAATATTTTAAAATCGATTGTTAAAATATATAAACAAATTTAATATACTTTCAATTGACCAATTTGGATTTCGATCAGGTTACTCTACTGACCTAGCACTTATATCTTTTACTGGCCAACTAAAGAAAGCCATCGATTACGGTAAATTGGCAAGTTCTATATTCGTAGACTTTACCCGGGCATTTGATACCATCGATCAAGATATTCCTGATAATAAATAAGACTCAATTGGCATAAGTCGTCCTCCTTTACTGCTACTAATTGACTACTTACGAGACAGGTATCAACTTGTTAGTATATGCTATGCTTATTCCAAGCGTAAAATCACTAATCTAGGTGTACCAAAAAGGTCAATTTCGGCCATTTTGCTATATTTAATTTGTAATAATGATCTGCCAAATTGTATTACCTTCTCCAAATGCATATATATGATGATGACACTACTAGGAGGTCCTATTTCAGTGTATACTACGGGACCTCCTCCCGTATATTCTTCCTCTGCACTGTATTAAGAAATAACAAAACTTGATTTTATTTCATTTGATTTGATTTCATGTTACTGGCCAATTAATCAGCGCTATAGGCCATGGCCAAATTAGACAACCCCGTCACTTCTGAAGTTGTGGCGGAAGTGACGTCACATATTCGCCAAAAATTATTAGAATAACTAGATCATCGGCACAAGCTGCTACAGCGACGGCGTCTAAGAAGCTCTCACTGGTCGGGGGAAATTAGGAAAATGGCTACTGCCTCGGCTTTTCTTCACATAATATTGCCGTTCGGAAAACAAGCTATGCGGTGTCATGCGTGGGCCTGCCAATTATGTTTTCGTTCTGTGAGCGGCAAGATTGAGGATCATTGAGGATCAGTGACGGAAGGCCGCAGCCGCTCATTTTGGTGATTTGGTAGCGCAACCCTAGGACAGCGATGCCCTTGGTGCCCTGCGTTAGCGATGCGCTGCGCTTTCGAATCGTCATTGCGGAACCATACCAACTCGCCAAAGTGTCTACGCTTCATCAGGGGCACGTCCGCTTCTATGAAGAAATGAATTCTTGGATGTGGGCCTCGAGCTGACGCCCATCAACAGTGTTTGGTCACTATCAACTGATCGTCGCATAGAAAGTTCGCAGCTCGTGCCTATTCCTCGAGGCCGAGCTGATTCGAGGAGCATGCAATGAAAGATTTCACTTGTGGCGTCAGAAAAATGGCGTCGTCCGGATATCTCACGCTTCCTTTCGGTATTCAGTGTTTTGCACCTGAGCACTTTATATTTCTCTATATATATTTTCTCTCAGGTGTCAACAGATGTGGACCCGAATTAGCGAAGGAGTGCTACCTGAAGTATAAAAGTGCGGTATGGTCGGAACAGTTTAAGCCAAACCAAGACGGAGTGTACGATGAAGAGGAATTCAGGATACTTTGCAGGTACTATTGTGCACCTGTTTTCACGCTTGTTATGCGCTCACATTTTCATATATATATATATATATATATATATATATATATATATATATATATATATATATATATATATATATATATATATATATATATATATATATATATATATATATATATATATATATTATATATATATATATATATATATATATATATACATATATATACTTATATATATATATATTGTAAGCACATTCCAAGCATTTGATCGTTCTCACTTGCACATACCCATCATCATCGTTCTCACTTGCACATACCCATCATCATCGTCCTCTCTCTTGGTGTGGTTCTGAGCGGAGCCAGACATCGCAGAATAAACGCTTCTGCTCGCCCTGCCTGCTCGCCGTACCTAGTCTGCCTGCGTCTTTCAGAGTGGTGGAGGTGCTGGGTAAGATCCCGACGTCCTCCTACGTTCATTTCCCACCTGGAGCTCCGATCTGGTCGCCGACTGCACCCAGCCACCCACACAGGTATGCAGACATCGGACCTAACGCCTAGCCCTAACGCTACAGCCCCTACGCCGGCGGCTGCCCGCTCTTCATCTACTGTCACCAGCCCTCAGCGCGAACCGCCCGTGTTCGCGGGTCTTCGCGGTGACGACGTCGAGGAATGGCTTGACCTTTACAACCGTGTGGGTTCAGCCAATCGATGGACCGAAGCAGAGAAACTGAGCTACCTTCCTTTCTATTTGACCAGCGTAGCCAAAACCTGGTATTTTAATCACGAAACTGACTTCGTTGATTGGTCGACCTTTGCCAACAAACTGCGACAAATATTCGGATGCTCATCGGGTCGTTCCGAAGCCGCGAAACAGAAGCTGGCTGTGCGTCTACAACTGGCACATGAGTCGTACACTTCGTATATCGAGGATGTTTTGGCCCTCTGTCGCCGTGCGAATAAAGACATGACGGAAGATGAGCGCGTTCGCCACATCCTTAAAGGAATCGGCCCAATCGCATTCAACGCCTTGGCTGTTGGCAATCCCGCTACGGTTAACGACGTCATTTCGACATGCCAACGCCTTGACCAGTTGCAGTCCCTTCGGCTTCAACAAGACAGTGATCCACGCCTGATGCCTCCCTCTGAATTAAAAACCCTTATCCGCACAATCATCCGGGAAGAACTTCGAGACCTTGAACAGCAGCGGTCCACTGTCGCCTCCGCTCCGTCTCCACCATTCGACCTGCGGAATCTTGTTAAGCAGGAGTTAGCGGCAATGGCGACACCGACATCCCCGGTCGCTCCGCCAGCACGCCCGATGCCCACATACGCCGATGTGACGCCCAGGTCGACACCGGCAGCACCGGTTGTTCAAACGGTAATGCCCACATATGCGGAGATCGCTGCGATTCCGCCTGCTCCCGGGGCATCTAGCTCTACGGATACTGCTAGTAGCCATTTGGCTGCTATGCGAGGTGGAATGACTGCTGCACCCTTGTATCCTCAGTGGCGTCAATCCCGTCCTGTTTGCTTTTACTGCGGTATACGAGGCCACATTTCTCGTTACTGCCGTCGCCGCCAGCAAGAGGAACGACGAGGCTATGCTGAGTTCGAACGAGACCGGTTCCGAAGACCAGATCTTTATGCTCCAGACACCTACCCGTCCGCGCAGTACCGGTCTCCGTCTCCTCCAGTGTCCCCTCGTCAACATCAGGAATACCGCTCCTCCAGACGACGCTCTCCATCGCCCTATCGCCGCTCCGCATCGCCGCTTCGTCCAATCATCTCCCGTCCTGTTGACCAATCTTCGGAAAACTAAGGATTGCAGTTTTTGGAGGGAAAACTGCGTCCCGTCGACCAACAAAAATACCTCCTGTTCGCCCAGCTAATATGTTGTCAGTGATTATTGAAGGTATTCCTGTGCAAGCTCTCGTTGACACCGGTGCAACCACTTCTGTTTTGCGTAGTGACTTGTGCTCGCGCCTCCGTAAAGTCAGAACGCCCTATGTGGGACCTGTGTTGCGTGGGGCAAATAACGTGCTGATTCAACCTGACGGACAGTGTACGGCTCGTGTTTCTATTGATGGTATACGTCACCACATCGAGATGATTGTGTTGCCCACGTGCATTCATGAACTTATCCTTGGATGGGACTTTCTGCATTCTGCTTCCGCTGTTATATCCTTTAAAGAGAACGTCATTCACATAACGGATACAACGGATGCGCCCATTCCAGTTTCATCACCCTCGATCTCCAACTTGGTCATTGTTGAAGACTGCGTCCTGCACCCTGGTCACGAACACGTGATAGCTGTCGCATCTACCCAAGTAACCGACGGTGATGCACTTGTGGCTCCTTCGTTTCGCTGCACCTCCCGTGGAATTCTCGTCGCCTCTTGCCTCCTCCGGTTTTCCTCTGGCTGCGCTTTTCTGCCCGTTTCTAACACAACTGCAGAATCTGTGCTGCTGCCCAAGGGAATGACAGTGGCAAAGATTGACTTCTCTCCATTGACCTCCATCGCGACACTCTGCCCGTCTTCGTCACCAGTACCAGCTCCAGGTTCACGTTCTTTCCCTTTTCGACCTGTCATTGGTTCAGACCTCACACCAAAACAGTCTGAAGCACTATTGGCCCTTTTGGCTAAGCACAAAGCCTGCTTTGATAGCTGTACCACAACACTGAGTCAGACTTCCGCGGCTGTACATCGCATTGAAACCGACGGTTCTCGTGTGATACGCCGTCGCCCATATCGGGTTTCGCAATCAGAGAGAGAAATAATTGAAAAAGAAGTGAACGAGATGCTATCGCGAAATATAATACGACCTTCTTCGAGTTCCTGGGCATCTCCAGTCGTTTTAGTTAAAAAGAAGGATGGCTCTGTTCGTTTTTGCATTGACTACCGCGCGTTAAATAAGATCACACGCAAGGACGTATATCCTATGCCTAGAATTGATGACGCTTTAGACACACTGCAAGGGGCGAACTATTTTTCGAGCCTTGACTTACGATCAGGTTACTGGCAAATCCCCATGAACGAGGCTGACAAAGAAAAAAACTGCATTTGCCACACCGGACGGCCTTTATGAATTTAATGTAATGCCATTCGGCTTGTGCAACGCTCCAGCCACGTTTGAGCGAATGATTGATACTGTTCTTCGTGGCCTAAAATGGAAGACCTGCCTCTGTTACTTAGATGATATCGTTGTTTTTTCAAGTACCTTTGCCCAACATCTTCAACGATTAGACGAGGTGCTACAATGTCTCTCCAAGGCTGGCCTTCAGATAAATACAAAGAAGTGTACATTTGCCAGCAAAAGCATCAAAGTCCTCGGTCACGTCGTTTCCAAAGACGGAATCCAACCAGATCCCGAGAAGATCGCAGCTGTGCTACAGTTCCCTCGACCGTCCAACCAAAAGACGTTGCGCAGCTTTCTTGGTCTCGCGTCCTATTTTCGTCGCTTTATACGCAACTTTGCTACCTTAGCGGCTCCGCTAAATAAGTTATTGGCCACTGGTGCTCCTTTCTCATGGTCCAACGACTGCGAATCTGCATTTGAAATTTTGAAAGAACGCCTGACTTCCGGACCAGTGCTGCGCCACTTCGATGAGAGAGCGCCTACCATACTCCATACTGACGCAAGCGCACAAGGCATTGGAGCAGTCCTTCTGCAGCGTGATTCCACCTCTAAAGAGCAGGTTGTGGCCTACGCTAGCCGGACTCTGTCAACAGCTGAGCGGAATTACACCATCACGGAGCAGGAGTGCTTGGCTATCGTATGGTCGATACAGAAATTCCGCCCGTATCTCTACGGTCGGCACTTCACCATCATCACCGACCACCACGCACTCTGTTGGCTTTCATCAATGAAGAATATGTCAGGACGTCTTGCGCGCTGGATACTGCGCTTACAAGAGTACGACTTTACAGTTACGTACAAGTCTGGCAAATGTCATCATGATGCCGACGCGCTGTCCCGGTGCCCACTTTCGCTCTCTCGTGACAATACGTCCACCGCATCGCGTTCGAATGACTCTGACACCCAGCTTGCCTCACAACACGTATCGCTCGCATCGCTGGATCCAATGCAGCTATCTTCGAACTCCGATTTACGTTCACTTCAGCTGGCAGATTCCTACTGTCGGTCTTTCATTGATCGCCTTCGCGGTGTCACTAAACCACCCAACAGCCGCTTGCGACGCCAGCTTCGACAATTTCGCCTTCAGGACGGTGTGCTTAAGCGCTACATTTACCATCCCACCGGTAACAAGTGGGTGCCAGTTCTTCCCCGCTGCCTTCGTCTTCGAGTTTTGGAAGCATTCCACGATGATATTGCTGCCGGTCATCTAGGCTTCCACAAGACCTACGATCGCATCAAGACGCGCTGCTTCTGGCCTGGCTTGTCCACAACGGTGGCCAAATACGTGGGCTCGTGCGCGTTGTGTCAGCACCGCAAGCGATCCACATCCCCGCCTGCTGGTTTCCTTCAGCCTCTTCCCTGTCCCACCACACCATTCGAATTTGTCGGAATAGACTTGTATGGTCCTTTGCCGTTGACACCTTCCGGCCACCGTTGGATCGTCACTGCAGTCGACCATCAAACAAGATACGCCGAGACTTCACCTCTTCATTCTGCTACCGCCACAGAAATCGCCAATTTTTTCTTGAACTCCATCGTCTTGCGCCACGGAGCCCCTCGCGTCCTTTTGAGTGACCGTGGCAAAGCCTTCCTTTCCAAGGTCCTGGATGAAGTCCTGCAGGCGTGCAATACAGTCCATAAAACCACTTCTACATACCATCCGCAAACGAATGGCCTTACCGAGCGCTTCCACCGAACACTCTCTGACATGATATCGATGTACTTGCATCCTGACCACAAAAATTGGGATAACATTTTACCGTTTGTCACCTTCGCATACAATACTGCGGTACAACGATCAACTGGCTACAGCCCGTTTTTTCTCGTGTACGGCCGATCTGCCTCCTCGGTCTTCGACACGGCATTTTTCTTTGCACCGGCTCCAA